CACACTCACTGAGTGCGGGTAGTGCTGGGACAGACAGAAAACAGCCAATGTCTCACATGCACTGTCCTGTTTGCTGGCGGGCACGAGCATCACCAGGGCTCCCAGAGCAAATGAAGCCCCCAACTCATCACACAACAGCTGCAGACAGAGCAGAGGGGGACAGGAAAGAAGCTTGGGAGAGGCTCAGGCAAGGCAGAAACAGCACTGCTCTCCTCAGTCCCAGAAGCCCTAATCCCAACTGGATCTATGACTGCCACTTCTGGAGCCTGCAGCCCTTCATTCAGGAGCCCTGGCCCCTTTGGAACTGTATTCCTAGGAGCACAAATCACATTAACTTCCACTGGCCTCTGTGGGGCCAGGCATAGTGACCTGCCTTTTATCTCAGAACTCAGAAAATAGAGGCAGGAGGATCTAGGTGTGTTTGAGGCCAGCCAAGTCTACTGAGTCCCAGGACAGCCATAAATAAGTAAGTAAAGGATGGATGGATGGATGGATGGATGGACGGACAGATGGATGGATCTACAGAGTGAGTTCCAGGACAGCCATAAATAAATAATGACGGATGGATGGATGGATGGATGGATGGATGGATGGATAGATAGAATAAATCACGCTGTGGGAGATGACTCCATTGGTAAAGTCCATGTCTCCCAAGTGTGAAACCCTGAGTTCAGTCCCCTGGTTAGAGGCAATCAAGGCAGCCTCTAACCAGCATGGTCTAGATAGGGCCTGGTCTCTAGCTACTGCTTGAGTTGTCCTACGAGTGTCTGCATCTGGCCTCCAAGCTGATTTGGCCCCAGCCAGGCCAAGTGTATCCCAGAGACCCAGAGGTCTGCTCACCTGCATGTTCTGTTCATACTGCTTCTGTAGGGACCCTGAGGCAGATGTGGACACATCCAGGCCTGATGCTCCCTCTACTCGCTGAGAAATGAAGTTGTTCAGAGATCTCAGGGTTGACAGGACAGTGGTGTTCTCTCCGAGGTCTTCCATGGTCACCCTCCTTCTAGGAGACAGAGCAAAGGTCAGAGACAGCCTTCCCATGTGCTGTCTGTTGGCATAGTCCACTCCCCTAAGACCCTTATGGAGTAAACAAACATGTTTTCAACATTAACATGAAGTCAATACTGCCAACATTGTGGAGAGGAAATGAGGCATTAAAATGAGGCATGCCACATGATATGCCTATGATATCAGTAGGTAGGGCAGGAGGATCAGAAGTTCAAGGCCAGCCTCAGCTACTTGAGTGGGAGGCTAGCCTGAACAATATGGGACCCTGCTTGACAAAAGGGATGGGGGCGTGACACAGCCATTAATCCCAGCACTTACAGAGAGGCAAGAAGAGCTCTGAGCATTCAAGGCCAGCCCGGTCGACACAGTACATACAAAGTTCCAGGTCGGCCAAGGCTGCACAGAGAGACCCCCCATCTCCAAAAAGTGGTGAGGGGTTAAAAGGGAGCTCACTGCTTAGAATGTTTACCGCTCTTGCAGTTCCCAGCATCCACACCAGCTAATAACTGCCTGCAAATCCAGTTCCAGGGCACCCAGTGCCCTCTTCTGGCCTCCCTAAGCACTGAGCTCATATACAGACATGCAATCAGAAATAAAAATCAACTTAAAAGCCGGGCGAGTGAGCTGGCTCAGAGGGTGAACTCGATGAAGCCTGATTACTGAGCTCCGCCCATGGAACCCACGGACGGGCAGCACCACTGTCCTTCCCTCACACCAGAGCACCCATGTGCCTACAAGAGAATGGCTCAAGCTTGAGTCCCCAGAAACCTGGACATGGTAGCAGGTGTCTCTAATGCCGGCACTCCTACTGCAAATTGCAAGATGGAGGCAAAAGAATCTTCCAGAGCTCACAGACCACAGAGCCTTGTACACACTGCACTGAGCAAGAAATTGTGTCTCTAACAAAATGGAAGACAAGAATCAACACAAAGTTTTCCTGACCTCCATGGCACAGAGATAGACAGACACTCACACAGATACACACAAAGAGACAGAACTATACGGAGGCAGAGGCAGAGAGGCAGAGAGGCAGAGACAGAGAGACTATAAAAATTCATACCATAAATCTTCAGCTCCAAGCAACCGTCTGAGCATCTGAGGGCTGATCTATACATCAGACAGGCAGACAGACATTCCAGCTCCTGAGAGGAGATGCTCAGAGGCCCAAGAACACCAAAAAAAACACCACCCCAAAGCCACACTCATCATCAATGTGGCCTCTGGGGGGTCAGAAACCAGCATGAAATAGTCAGGCGACTGTGGCCCCAGCAATGCTGTTAGCAGCAGTGCTGCCCACTGCCATCAGCTGGGTCGCACACACAGAGGGTCCGTGGGTTCCTAACACCCTCACTAAGCCTCAGCTTCCTCGCCCACAAACCCACCTGGACTGCAACCCACCTTGTAAAGGAGTCAGAGGGCCAGTGCTGGACGTGGCACTACCGCCACTCACAGGGAGCCTCCATCTGCTGGGTTTACACACGCTGCTTAGTCCACAGCACATCGGCCAACCCAGGCTTCTTACAAAGTGGATACTTTGGGTCTTACATCTTTTAGTACTTTGTGTTTGGGTTTCTTTTTAAGACTTGGTCTTGCTATCCAGCCCAGGCTAGCCTGAGACTGTGTTTTCAACCTCCAAGAGTCAGTCTGCTACAGAGCCAGATAAAGCACTGATCCAGACTTCACCCATCTGAGTAGAACCCCAACCTTCCAGACTCAGATGGAAGGGTGAAGGGCAGACAAGACACCAACTATTCTGGCTAGCCTGTGAGCAGAAAGTCTGGCGAACGATGTCTTTTGGCCCGCAGCCAAGTCACAGCTGGGAAAACTGAAGGAGGAGGAAAGCCTGGTGCCACAGGTCTGTCATCCCAGAGCCTTAGGAGCACAAGTTCAAGACCCAACTAGACAACTTAGCCTCAAAAAGGTGAGAGGGCGGGACACAGCCCATCTCCTCTGCTTGTGTGAAGCCCCATCATGGCCCAGTGCCTGACTGAGCTGCTCACCTGTTGGGTCGGGGTGTATGGGGTGAAGAAACAAGACAAGGAGCAGGCAAGAGCAGTAACATAGGTTTATTAGGAGAGCACCCGTGGGGGGTGAGGAGGAGCACCCGTGATCCACTTCCACACTGTGGCGTTACTGATGGGGCCCAGCAATGGGTATTGAAACATAATACCTGCTTCTGGCACAGAGTGTGACACCAGAGGGAGCAGCTGGTGGTCTGCTGGACGGGGTGCAGCAAGCCCTTTGGCCCCAGTACCTCTCCATCTCCATGATTTGGGTGTGGTGGGGCACGTCTTCCCCCCATCCCCCAGCGTTGGTCTACAGAGTGAATTCTAGGACAGCCAAGGTTACAAGAGAGACCCCACCTCTAAATAAATAAATAAACAGAGCAAGTCTGAGCCCGGTAGACTGAGAGGCAGTTAAGCCTCTCCAGAGGCAGCCGTTGTGAAAGCGGCTGAGGTGCCGATGACAGGAGGCTAAGGGGCCACGGGGAGCAGTGAGGGGGTTCTCACACTGTAGAGGAGGTTAAGGGGCC